AAATATAAGTCTGGAACTGCTCCATAGAAAATAAATTGGGAAAGATGTTATAGATGAAACTGAGAGCATCCAGGGTATATTTTTTGTTTCAAAAATGAGAACACTACAATAGAACAAAGTTCATTTGGGTTTAAAAAAAAAACAAACATTCTGTATGTCCACAAAATTTCATTCATTGCCTATGGAGCAGCTCCAAACTTCCTAACTTCAATTCTCTTAGGCCATGGAAATAACGTACTGAAATTTGTGATTTAGGTGGTGTTCCCCTTTTAAGGTACTTATCTACTTAAGTTTACTAAACATACATAGACCTTTGTCTATCCTCTACCTGTGCATGACTTTTTCAGTGCTCCTCTTACTTAGAGAGGAGGTATTGAACATAGTCTTACAAGTTACATACTGTGCACAACTTTGCCATTTAGAGCACAGTTAATGGCAACGACTTAATTCATTACAGTTGCATTTACTTGAACAACTCAGTGTTATGTTCAGTCTTAGAGAAGTTACTCTGTTGGGTTGTGCTTGCAGTTCGTGAAGCTGGTTGCACATTGGTAGCCAATAATAGATAATCTGCATTTTAAATAAGTAACCTAATTTCCAAAAATATTGAGATGTTAACCCGTGTATTTAATCCACTTTCTAATTTGTTTATTTACACTATGCTTATTTTGAACTTAAGCTTTTAGACTGAATGTTTGCATTTGAACCATTGAACATAGCAGCCAGGGCAACCTTAAGTGCTCTATACCTAAGAGATTGCCATTATCTCATGTCCTTTTCTCCACTACTGATACATGAGTTGCTCACAAGTGCAGAAGAAGGGTGAGTGCTTTTGTTGGATAGAAGTCAGAGGAGACTGGCATGACTTTTTCATAGCTGTTCATAGCTTGGCTGTGTGCAGCACCTAGATACATTTGGTTGTGCAGACGATATTCTGATGTTTTAGATCAATGCTCTCCACATTGTCTTCCCATGTGTGGAACTGTATCTCACTTTGGAATCTCACATCAGCATACTGCACATCAGGCAGACTTGGTACACATTTCCTTCAGTGCAGGCTAGTTTATCTAGCACAGTGAGTGAATTTTGAGGTTTTGGAAGAAATGGCACTTTTCCTCTGTTGTTAGAGGTGGTCTGTTCTGTTCCTCATTCACATCTCTGAGAATTGCTCTCTTACCCAAAGAGAGAGACAGCCCGGTAGGTTCAAAGTCAACTGGGAATATTTGCTAAATGTATTACGAGAAATGGGTTTCTAGGACTCCATCTCATATTCCTACTAAACAGTAGCACACTATTGAATGGTTATTCACTTAGTGAGTTAGTAACAGACATAAATAGGTAATATATGCATCTAACTGAACTTTGTAGACTGTAGACATTATTTACATTATTGTGGACATCTTGGTACAGGTCCCTTATGTTACACCACATTGGACCCATACATTAATTAACATTCCTCTAAGGTATTTCCACAGTTAAGGGGGATGTTGGCCATTATGGGTGTATATGGATGGACAGCACTTAAGTGGCAACTGTACATAGAGCTGACAGAGCAAATTTGTCACAAAACATCCCAAAGAAATAACCAGATCTTAACTAAACCTGTTCATAAACTCAGTCACCTGCACTCTACATTAGTACCCTTACCACAAAATATTATGAGTTTTTTCCTTCCTCTGATGGTTTCTATGGTGATATGGTTTCCTGAGCTGGTTGCTAAGGAACAGCCTCTGCGGCAGAGCGGTGCAGTAGTGATGTCAGGACTGTAGGTGTAGTGTGAGAGTGTTCATAGATGCAGTGTGGTCTGTCAGCCTTTTTATACACATGGCGGCAAGATGGAGCACATGGCTGAGGTATAATCCCTGGATCGCACCCATTCTGCAATGGTGTGTTAAGGGAACAGTTGGGGATTTTCATACCAACAAACAAATCTGCCCTCACAAATCCTTTCAATTATTTTAGGAATACAGATTGTTCAAAGGCATAAATAGCACATGGAATATATCATATATATCAAAGCGAGATGTTCATCTTATATACTGCATGTGTCTGTCACACCAGGTATTTCCCAGGTATCATTGCTTATTCAGTTTAGTAGTTTTAATGTCATCTATCCTTTCCTAATAAGCTGCTGTGTTATGTGTTTGGCAGTGCAGTTCTGTGCTCTAGTTTCTCTGCTTTTTCTACTTTTTGTCATGTTGTGACTCCAGATGGCCCAATAAGCACCCGTTGGCATCAAAGGGCCTGTTTTCATGGGTGTTTAACCTTTGATAAATGACCTGCTTGTGCTTTTGGTCCCAAGACAATGACATTCTGTGGAAACAATTAATTCCAGCATGGTTTATTTTAGAAGCAATGTTCAGTTAGTAAAATTTCCAAACACTACCACCCAAATAATCTGTATATAGTATTTACTAAAAATGGTATAGCTACTTGTTATTTATTTCTTGTTTCAGCGTATTTGCTGTAGTTTGCATATTAATATGAAATTTTCTAATTATATTCTCATACAGTCATGTTTATCCCTCTAGATTCTTCTTGTGCAAAAATAATGGATAGACAA